TTTTCAGAATGTATGGTTACTGCTAACATTTATTTCTGTTAAGACAATATTTCACATTGTAAAGAGCTTTCTATTTCTCTTCTTCTACAAGAGAGTATATGTACACTGAAGAGTAAACATACTTGTGACATTTTGCAAAATGTCAGGCGCAGTGTTATCAAAAATACATGTTTAAGGGAAAGAAACACGCATTTCTAACATTTTGCAGAATATAAACGAATTTCTAACATTTTGCAAAATGTCAGGCAGTGTTACCGAAATACACGTTTAAAGAAACTGAACACATATTTCTAACATTTTGCAAAATGTCAAGCGTAGTGTTACTGACAATATGTTTGAAAAAGAACGGAACAGCGTGAAAACATATCTGTAATATTTAACGGTGCAAAATGTACAGGATATAATAGTGCAAGGTACGTAGTTTAAATCAACAGAAATGTTAGCAGTAATCATATTTTTCAGAATGTATGATTACTGCTAACATTTATTTCTGTTAAGACAATATTTCACATTGTAAAGAGCTTTCTGTTTCTCTTCTTCTACAAGAGAGTATACACTGAAGAGTAAACATACTTGTAACATTTTGCAAAATGTCAGGCGCAGTGTTATCAAAAACACATGTTTAAGGGAAAGAAACACGCATTTCTAACATTTTGCAGAATATAAACGAATTTCTAACATTTTGCAAAATGTGAGGCAGTGTTACCGAAATACACGTTTAAAGAAACTGAACACATATTTCTAACATTTTGCAAAATGTCAAGCGTAGTGTTACTGACAATATGTTTGAAAAAGAACGGAACAGCGTGAAAACATATCTGTAATATTTAACTGTGCAAAATGTACATGATATAATAGTGCAAGGTACGCAGTTTAAATCGACAGAAATGTTAGCAGTAATCATATTTTTCAGAATGTATGGTTACTGCTAACATTTATTTCTGTTAAGACAATATTTCACATTGTAAAGAGCTTTCTGTTTCTCTTCTTCTACAAGAGAGTATACACTGAAGAGTAAACATACTTGTAACATTTTGCAAAATGTCAGGCGCAGTGTTATCAAAAACACATGTTTAAGGGAAAGAAACACGCATTTCTAACATTTTGCAGAATATAAACGAATTTCTAACATTTTGCAAAATGTCAGGCAGTGTTACCGAAATACACGTTTAAAGAAACTGAACACATATTTCTAACATTTTGCAAAATGTCAAGCGCAGTGTTACTGACAATATGTTTGAAAAAGAACGGAACGGCGTGAAAACATATCTGTAATATTTAACGGTGCAAAAGATGTGGTAGAGATAATCCAGAAAATACATAGCATAGAACTCAAGTCTACGCCTGGCAACACGTTTCGTCAGACTTTCGAGAATTAGGTGAACAGGATACTGCACGATGCTAGAGACAAGACCGGAGGCTCCTCCAAGAAGTCCTTGACTGAATACAATAATTTAAAAGCCATGGTGGTGTCGGGCTCCAAGGGCTCCAACATCAACATCTCTCAAGTCATCGCTTGTGTGGCCAGCAGAACGAGGGTAAGCGAATACTCTTCGGTCTCCGTAAGAGAACGCTGCCTGATTTCATCAAGGATGACTACGGGCCAGAGTCTCGTGGTTTTGTCGAGAACTCGTATCTAACCGGTCTCATGCCGTCAGAGTTCTACTTCCATGCGATGGGTGGTCGTGGGGGAATCTTCTTATCGATACCGCCGTGAAGACAGCCGAGACCGGTTACATTCAGCGTCGTTTCATAAAGGCTATGGAATCGGTTATGGTGCATTACGATGGCACCGTGCGTAATTTCATCGGTCAGCTGATTCAGTTGCGTTACGGCCTCTGCGGCGAGACTGTCGAGTTCCAGAACTTGCTGACGAATAAGGTGAACAACAAGGCCTTCGGGAAGAAGTTCAAGTTCGACCCGACCAACGAGCGATATCTGCGACGTATATTCAACGAGGACATCGTCCGGGAGATGATGGATTCCGGAGAGGTGATATCCGAGCTGGAGAGAGAACGGGAACAGTTTAATAGAGATTACACATAAAAATGCAGAAGCTATTCCATGTTAATGAGCGAACGATGACAAGTTCCAGAACGCGGACGAAGACACTCTAGATAAAACAAAAAGCGATATATTCCTTCGGCGCATTAAAACCAACATGCTTAACGACAATAACTCTGCAGGTATACAGCAATAAATACATTAATTAGTCTTTTACGTCATTGTTTAGTTACTTTTAAATGAGCTTACTGTATAGAGAAAATTGTTTTTATGTTTTTTTGTTGAATATTTCAGGGTATTGAAACTACCAACAAGGTTGCATTGGTCACAAACAGATTCTAAGAAATACACTGTTATGGAAACCGTGCGGAATGGCTTTTGGAAACTGACAAGACGAACTTGATAAAAGTGTTGAGCGAGATAAATACGGAACGTTCCGCAATGATATTTGCGATCAAATCCAAGTGCTCGAAAGTCATGCAAAAGTCGAAGAAGAAGAATTTTAGTTCTATGGGAATGTTATGGTCTTTATGTGAACTACCGACATCTCATGGCTATAACGCATCATAGAATTAAAGACAAGACACACCGACGTTTTGATGAGGTCAGTAAATATAATAAGTCTCGCTTTTTATTGGGATCTTTAAAAATGTATATATTTTACGTAATGATAGAAGATCAATCAAAAGTTATTAAGAAATATAATTTCTTTAGAATCTTAAAGAAATGGAAGAATGCTATATCCGAGGTATCCGAGAATCTTATAATGGGACAACTTTCTTGGATCGAAACAGGTAATGCACAATTGCGTTATGGTACAAGAAAAACTTACTCTTAGGCAATTTACAGTCTAATTTCTATTCAAATTTATCCTCTAAAGCAATGTAAGGAAAATAATAAAATCTCAGATTGAGTTGTGATCAGCATAAATTTAAAATGATTATTTGTCATGTACAATAATAATACGATATCAATGTTTTTGTGTTTAGGATACTTCGATCTACTACTGGACGCTGAGAAAGACAAATCTGAGTTACTAGTTAATCTCGCCAAGTTATTTCCCGATCAGCTCAAGCTACTTGCTTATGAGTAGCTATTCACCAAGCTTGCCTCACTGTTTCGTCTTCATATTCGTCGATTGCGTCTAATTACTCGCTAAGTTTGTCACAATATTCTAACCGTGTTCACCGAGCTCACGCCGCAGTGTACTGCATCTAGCAACATCCGGTATTCACTCAGCATCTTAAATTATCCGCCTACCAGTCCGACGTACTCGCCCACAAGTTTACAGTATTCGCCGTCAAGCACCAATATTTGCTCACGAGTTCTATGCATACGCCTACAAGTCCGAACTATTCTCAGATGGATCAGATGTACTAGCCGTTTGTACTGGAACAATTGTTCACGAGTCTCACGTACTTGTGTTATCTTATGAGACAGACAAAGCATTTTGTTTATTTGTTTGTAAATTATTTAAGTACTCTTAGTCAGTTAATTATAAATTGGATTGTAATTGCACGTACCCAGTGAAAATTTGTTAGTAAACTGTCGCCAAATTGGTATCAAATTCGGTGAAAACTTGGTATATTATATCTATGTCCGTAATCATTTCGTGTTTTTGCTGTCGAAGTTTGCGGACATAATCTGACAGTAAATTGATACCAAATACTGAACAAAACTTGTTCATATGGAGTAAAGATTGTTTGGTATTTGACAATTTACTATCACAAAAGACCAGTAGATTTTGTTATATTTTTGTATAACTTAACAACATCTGGTATAACAGAATTTGTATCAAATTTGGAGCCTTTTCGCTTATAATTTTGAATAAACATTTGGTAAAATTTATTTTAGCAAGTTTGGCTATCTGGGTAGTTGCAAATAAACTTGATACATATGTGAGTGTTAAAATTTTTCTTTTATAAATCTTCATGAAATTAAGCGACCTACACTGGCTAGTGTTTTTTATTTAAAAAAACGAATATTACAACGTTTCGGCCCTGGTTTTGGGCCCTTTTCAAGTGTTCTTAGTGAATCACTGCGTCAATTATTCAATTGTTTGGCCAATTCGTTTTTTTAAATAAATCTTTTTTTAAATAAAAAACATTAGCCAGTGTAGGTCGCTTAATTTCATGAAGATTTGTTTTAAATTACTGGCGATATACAATTTACCACTTTATTTTTCTTTTATATTTTTTTAAATACTTAATAAGATGGACATAACATAATCATGTTTAGTTAAAAATTCGAGAACAGTTAAGGCTCCTGGTCACTTATAGATACAGAATACAATCTATTTTCTGTATCTAGTAAGCTGCATAACGTTGTACATACATTAAAAAATCCACATTTTAATGATATTTAGTTTATTGAGTAAACATCAAGATCTTCATATATTATTAGAAAAACTTTTATAAGCGAAATCTGCGTTCAAGTGGCATACTTGCTGTATTATCTTCATTACATCATTGTATTATTGGACAAGCGTTGTTAACGTTTTTGTTCCTCTTGTATGACAACGGTCATTCTTATGATTGTTAGAGTACAGTATGATGCATTGATTCAATTGGGGTAATAATTAGGGATGAGAAAAAATTACTTGGTTATTTAAACATAGATGTTTTTGATGATACGACCCGAACCGAATTAATGCACCGCACTGTACATACATCAATACAATTGTAATATTAGTCACAATAAATTCAAAAATGTGAAGTTGATAAAATCTCTGGTCTTTGTCTTGAAATAGCCATACAAGTATAGATAAGGATACAAATCACTTAAAAAGTGGCCTAAATTGAATCAAATAATAGGAAAATGTGAAACGTACAATAGAAGGAAAAATATATATTTACTCAGTATAATTAAAACTAGGTTGCTTTTCAAATAGATAGTTGTGACGTCAAGAATGACAATTATATTACTTGAAATAGAGCATTTTGAATACGCTTTATCGTCTAGTCTACGACAACTTGCTAAATACGAAAGTCATACATTGTAGGTCTTCCCCGTGGCTCTCCCGTCCAGGCTAAGTCACTCGTGTTCGATACGGTGTCGAGTTACCTCGGTGCTGCGGTACGGTGCGTAAAAACCGGTCCAGATTCTTATAACGATGAACGTCGTATGTCTCAGTACCGCGATATCACAGCGAACAACATGAATCCCGAAAGTGCAACGTTGTTGAAGGATAAGAATTCAGGATTGTCGCTGCTCTTCGCCACTCTATGCATTATTGATATTTTCGGCGTATTCCCGATAATCGCGCTACCACGGTCGACTATCCAGTGTGGTGAGATCACGCTGCAATTTTTGTCAGGATAAGAGAAGTTTCTGACAGAAACTACATGGCATATTTTGGAAGAATATCGAACACTCTGAGAAACCTTTGTAATCTTTCATCTTTTCCAATTACGATTTAAAAATATTTGAAATTAATAATTAGGAAAGTTGAATAATTACTCGTTTATTCCATTCTGTTTGCATTGCTAAATTACAATATGATCCTCAAAATTAAAGAATTATATCGGATACGTGTCAATGCATAAAGGAGAATGGAAAAAATATACATATATACTTGTCATTAGGACTGTACGGAATCCCTTTGGTGCTTGTTGTCCTTGGTTTGCAAATTTATACGGCCATTCTGCTGGGAAAATCATGGATTATCGCGACTGCTCTGGATCCACAAATTTCACAAAAAAATCGGTATTCTCCAACGTCAAACTAGAATTAAATATTTAAAACTGTACGCATGTCTGTAAAAATTCCTCTTTATTACCTTTGTATTAGATTCTTTAATCTATTTTACAATAAGAACATTTCACAATGTAGATTCTACGTCTAGATACAATTAAAATTATAGCTATCCTCTCGCCGCTGTAACGGAATTAACAATGGGACAGCGTGCACGATCCATCGTCACTCTGCTTTTAGATCTGACAGTGTTTGGTTGCGGTATCCCGAATTTATTAGTCGGTAAGTAAAAAAAAGATATCTTGGAATTATACTTATGCATTAATAATAAAAACTAATTTTTATTTTCTAATTTTTTCTTTAAATTTAAATTTAATAAACTTCGCCGATTGGATACGTTGAATGAAGACTGAAAAGATATCCTCTTCGCATTACAGTTTTTAGTAGTCTTCTGATGGACGTTACAAGATTGTATAATAATTTTGTTAAATGCAAATGATTTCTTAGCTTCGCAGAACTTACATCTGTTTGGGCTCAAGATATCGGGACAGCGTTTTGATCTCTCCTTCTGTTATTGGCTGCTAATAGTCGGCCTTTTACTTTGTCCATTGATGTGGCTGGGCAGTCCACGAGATATGAAGTATGGAAGATAAACTGTATTTCATTATTATAATTCATACATTTCGGAGAGAAATATTATTTACCTTATTATTATAGATGGGTTGCAACATGCTCTGGTATAACGGTCACCTTAACAGCAATATTAACGTGGTGGAGCATTGTGTCTGATGACCGAACATCTGACGCACCAATTGCTACCTCTCCAACGTGGGATAAATTTATTTCCGGGTACGTGCAACTTCTGCATCACACAAATACGCATTTAACACGAGCGCCTTTCTCGACAGTCAAATACAATCACAGAATAATGTATTGGGTATACATTTGCCGAATCAAACGATCAATTAATTAATGATTATTTGTCGAATAGGAAACGAGAACACCAAGTCAATTTTTAGATGCAGGTAGCCCAATAATTTTAATCTAATGTGTGAATTCATATACCATTTTCCCGTCCTGTGCGCCGTTACTCTCGTACATATAACACAGTTTCGTTAGATGGAATTGTTGTCGTCAGCAAATTCACGTATTTTAAATCAATAAACGATTTTTAATAATTTTAAAATGCTATACTTTAAAATACTTAGCATTCAATAATTGTTTGAATGAATTTTCAGATATGGTATGCTAGCTTTTCAGTTCGATGTGCATCCTACTTTAATGACGATACAAGTTGATATGCGTCGTCCACGAGACATCAATAAAGCCATTTTCTTTTCTTTTATGGGTAAGAAATAGCGAGAAAAATTATTTCTTGCATCTTGTCTCTATGTATGTATACCTCAGGAGAAGTTACAATTAGTATAAAATATTTTCCTTCTATTTCTTCAAGTTTCCATTTTGTAATCTCAAATAATTTTGTATCTAGTGTCTCAATATTAACATCATATTTTATGGCTCCAAGTCATATCCCGTTCATCTTTCTTGCAACTGTTAGTATATTTCTTACATTAATTTTTTTTTATAACAGCAAGTGGATCGTTGTTCACCATTACCGCTTGCCTAGCTGTGTGGAAGTACGGCGGCAATACAACAGCCAATATCCTTGAAGCTGTGCCATCCGGATCGGTTGCGAATATCGCTATTCTACTAGCCGCTCTTCAACTATGTTTCTCCAGCGTGATCGGCTACTCGGCGCTCTTTCAACATCTGGAGGACCAGTGGAACGTGCAAAGAAGTAAAGAACTATTTATTTACAATTACTTGTTTTAATTGCAACCACAATTAATTTGTCTTACTGTTATGTCGAATTAGCTTTCGGATGGAAACGATGCGCCATGAGATCGGCGGTGGTTTTTCTCAGTGTGGTTGTAGGCGAATCAGTATCACGATTCGACATCGTCATGGCCCTAATTGGTGGTTCATTAACCGGATCATTGGTTTTTGTTTTACCACCTCTAATATATATTCGTGCGTTAGCTTTGAAGAAAGAATCGGGTCATGTAGCAACCACTGAGGAACAGATGTATTCAGGTTCTCGCAAAAGATTTAACGGCGAAGGGCGGCGCTTGATGGCACCTGGAGCTCATTCCTGCTCAACTTACTACGGTTTTCTGAGCGCCACGAATAATCCTCGCAGGTATCGTATACTTAGATATATCTAAATTTTAAATAATAAATGAACAGAGCCAGGCTTGTGTATGCTAAGCAATCAAGGAATAAGATGAGGGACAGTAAACGAGCAAAATAAAAAGTTAGCAAATATAATACTGTTTACTCAAAGTAACAAAACGAAAAATAAAAAGCGGAACGTTCCAACTTCAAGTCCTAATCATTCGATAAATCAATATTTATAAATAAAAATTAATTAAATAAAGATAAGATAGACTACAAAATTTTTTTAATACTTAATAAAAGAGAACATAAATCTTATCTCGATTTAATTTTCATTTATGTATATTGATTTATCGGCTGATGAAGATTTAGTAGTTGAAACATTCCGCTTTTTTTTGCTTTAGAAACGTTATTGTATTTGTTGTTTTTGTTTGGCTCGTTTAATACCTCTTGTCTTCTTATATTTGAATACTTTTTTTATTAATCATCATGTAAGTTAAAAATTTCATTTTTCAAAGCATTTTGAATCTATTCAACCTGTATGTAGCATTTTATTATTAAATTTTTACCAGCTACACGTATCTCTACTTCGACGACTTGGATGACGAGATAGATTCGGATTCAGACGAGCTCGTCGATTATGGGGGCGAACGTAGGAACAAAACTACACAAATTCCACTGACTAGATCTCGTCAGGAGGAGCAGCCGCTTCTCATCGATGCTGTAGAGCCAGCCAGAAATCAAATCGAGTCTACGAGTAATGTACAAGAGGAGACTACAGGAACGCTTGCGAAGACGAAAAAATTATGGAATCTGGAAAGGGCGATTAATTACTTTGGTCTTTTCATAGTAATAATTGGTATAGCGATCACATTGTCTTCAACATATGTCAACATTAGGAATACCATACGCTACGTGCGTTTTACGCCGCCATGCATCATTAATGCTACCGCGGGCTAAATCTTCGCATAGTTTCAATCTCCGTTTAGTTTGTGTAATCTGTCAAACATGAAGACCGCGATAATGTCAAACGTTAGGACTGGATATTTTGTGAATGTAAAAATGGCTGCGCTTAGCAGAAAACGTTGCTCTGCAACTGTTGTAAAAATCTTCAATCTAATTGGCGTATGCTTTTAATTTTAATTGAATCTAAGAGCATACTTCAATCAAACTCACGAATTTTACAATAGTTGCCAAGCAGCTTCTTCTGCCAAACGCAGCTAATGTAAAGCGATATCATGCAACGTATTCTCATATGTTTTATTTCGATTTAGAAATTGTAATTCTTTTTTTTTTAATATCTATCCGCAAATTAATACAATTAATACTCATTTCCCTTTGATACACTATACATATTTTAGTCCCATTTTTATTTATCTCTGTTTGAAACTGACTTATAATGAGTCCCTCTGCTTGAGCAATAATACATATGAAGCAAAAAATGTTAGTCTCATTTGGTTTAACCGCTAGAATTTTTTCTTAAAATTCACCCTGAAAATATGACATTTTGAAGAATTTTATGAGTTTTCTGAAATTATACCATACATTTTACTAACATTTTACTAACAAGTATTTTGTTGTTATGTTATAACTATTGTTATAATAATAATTGTTAGTAAAATGTTAGTAAATTGTATGGTATAATTTCAGAAAACTCATAAAATTCTTCAAAATGTCATATTTTCAGGTTTAAATCAATTGTTAAAGCGCAAGTTCAACAGGCTGATAGCTCGTCGAACGTATAAAGCACTTTGTAACATGTGTTTTTCGACTAACAATATTTCGGACACTTTGGCGGTCATTACCAATGGCAGACTTTAAAATGTAATACTTTAAAATGTAATATAAAATATGTAATATAAGAATATATAATATGTATGAATAAATAAATTTTAAGAATGTTAGTTTATGCTAAATATGTTCAATTTGTTTCGATTAGCTCGCCTTATTTCCGATTATTGCAATATTTCTTGAGAATTGTAATTTTTCGATAAATTTTGAATTGCAACAAAATGTACTGCCTTTTTGGCAGTACGATGAACTACTTGTAATATATATTGAAATTACCGCATTGATCGGTCCATTATGTTTCTAGAATTGATATAGTAACTTAAAATAATTGTATACTTTTTGTACTTTCAATCGAAATCGATAATTTTGTGTAGAATAAATTTGGTTAATCTAATAATAATTGTACTTTTGCTCGTATAATACATTGGCCGTGACTTCGAATTTATGTCATTACTAAGAAATGAGCGTAACTATTTCTTTTAATTAAAATAATTGCCCTGAAAAGAAAAAAACAAATATAAAATAAAAAACTAGACCAGAGGCCGAAGCTGTGCAAGATTTTTTAATCTTTTCACGTATTTATTCCCATATATTTGCGCTTGCAACGCAACGCTTGTACACACGAAGTACTCATTATATACTCGTATACATAATTCGCCGAATTTCAGAAGTCGCGGGAGCGACGAAGACCGGATGGCGGATAGGAAGGGTAGACAGTTTTGCAAGAACGTGTGTGTACAATAAGGCGCTTTATTTCTAAAAACCTCTCGTTTAGCATCGTATAGAAATAGTCGGTACTCCTTATATGTCTAGAACGTGCGAGTTGTAGTATGGTGCGCAGGTATAAATATAACAAATTTCAGTCGCGGCTCTCGTCGCTTCTCATTTCATCAACACTCGTTAATCCTCGCTGCCCTTTCTCGACGGGCACATCGACGGGAGAACTTGTCGAGGGGGACTGTCGCCTTCACATGCCGTCACCGCCACTGTCGCCGGTGCCGCCGTCGCCCTCGTCGACGCTGACACCGTCGTCGCAAGCCACCAGCGACTTGCTGCTCTTATCCCGCTTGGCGTTGTGATAGAGGTAGGAGTGTACACGCAGACTGTTACTGTTCTTATATTTATTGCCACAAAGCTTACACGTGAGACTTTCAAGCGGACCGTGAATATAACGGACGTGGAGCTTGAGGTTCTCCTTGCGCGTGAACTGGCGCAGGCACCACGGACACGCGTACATGCGTATCACCTTGCCGTGCTCCATGCGCAGCGTCGGCCCCAGCTCGGAAACGACACGCAACGTTGTCTCCAACGGCAAACTGCTGCCAGGGATGCCCTTGACGGTACGCCGTCCCTTGTTGCTGGAATTCGCAGTCTCGTAAGTGAAGTCGCTGGGATAAGTCGCCGTGTCGCTCAGACCTGGCGAGAGAGACATGAGAGAATATCAAAGATGCATTCGACTCGATAGCGTTATCGAGGGAGGTGCATAAAGGTGTTAAATAGATGTACGTAAATGAGTAAGAAAGAGAGTGAGAGCGTGAGAAGTATTAGATTGATGCAAGAGGCTTGTGTTTTTCAGGTAAAGTTAAAAAATGCAATTTCAGTAAAAGCACAATTCTGGGCTTCATGTACGGGAAGGTCTTTTCAAAGTACTTCAGTTTCCTAATTTGATTTAATAACAGAGCTTGAAAGAGAGCTAACTTTGCACCGATCTAATATATTTATAAGCAGTGTGCACAGCAGAGATGCGGCTTCTGAGACACCGGAAAAGAAGTATGTAATAAGAGAACGAGGTATCACGTAGGTCTGGTTTCACTAAAGTCGCTTAACTTTGAGCTCAGCTTAATTCGTTCTTTGTCTCTTTTCAACTATTACTTTAGAAAGAGACAAACATCAATTAAACTGAGATTAAAGTTACGCGATGTTTGGTGAAACCGGACCTTATAAATCTACATTAAAAAATTGCTACACGAAGATAATTTACAATTTACCCTGAAAATCACGGGACAACGTGGCATTTTGAAGAATTTTGAGTTTCCTGAAATTTTACCATAGTAAAATGTATACTAAAACTTGATTTCGCCAACGTCGCTTAACTTTGAGCTCAGCTTAATTCATTCTTTGTCTCTTTCTAACTGTTACTTTAGAAAGAGACAAACGTGAATTGAACAAAGATCAAAGTTAAACGACGTTGGGTGAAACCGGACCTAAGAATAATTACTAGTAAAATGTATGGTAAAATTTCAAAAAACTCTCATAAAATTCTTCGCAATGCCGTGTTGTCCTACAATTACGTGATTTTCAGGATAAATTTTAAGAGAAAATTCTCTCGAATTACGCAATTTTTTCCAGTAACAAAATTGCTTCATTCATTGTACAATCGATACAATCGAACAAAATGACAAATTAGCACGAGAATTATAATTTAAAGTGAAACAGGTGACAAGAACATTGTCGGCGTAGAACCAATACGCAAGTACTGGGATATGAAATGCACGATCCTCCTGCAAGAAAAAAAGGTATCTTGCGAATTGGTCCTTCCTTCGGACATGCTGCCGAACGAATTGAGAAGTGCGTGTACGACAGGCAAAACGTGCGGCAGAAGTGTAAAACGTACCGAACGGCTGAGTTTGTGAATTCTGATTGTAGGGAACTAACTGCGTATCTGGCGCGAAATCTGTAAGATAACATCGCTTTCTCTAGACATTCATGGCCGATGAGATGAGGTGCCTGTGGTGAATTTATGCAGAGCATAACTCGAGGAACGTTTCGCTTGCTCGGATTTGAAACACCCATTCGCGTGAACATGCAAGAGTGATGTTGCGTCGATTACAGAGATTAAAATTGACTTTAACCCCCGGCGTTGCGGTTCGACGAACGAACTGATTTACACGGCAGTCTCAGCGCGACAAATGGCCATACCCGCTCAATCGCGATGCGTTAGAGATTTGACGGAGAAACAGTGTCGCTTGTCGGCGGGATGGCGATGAGATCTAAAATGGTCCACGTTAGAGATACCGGGGGTTAATCAAACGGTATGTAAAAGTGCTCAGGAGCTTGCGTCGCAGTCAAACGTGTGACAATGAGCCTCAATAAACAAAGTACACATCTATCCGTGGCAACACTTGAGTGCGTCAAACCTTTGGGGCGCCGGTATCGCTGGTACAGCAAGCTTTTCTCTTTGCCGAAGGGCGTTTCAGCTCCGGATGACGTTTCGACGACGTCATTCGATCTACCGTTAGCGTTGCCTTTAAAGTACACGAGATGCCGACAGGACGGAAGGGAGGATCACTACCTTGTTTCGGCGCGTTCTCGTTGCCGGCATAGAGTATCTTTTCCGCCGTGTATCTGTAGCCCGAATCCGCGTCCGTGTCCATCGTGTAATCCAACGGTTCGTGCTTGGCCGATCGTGGTTGGCTCACGTCGGACGTGCAGTCCAGTGGCTGTTCTTCGCACGGCGCATCCGTGCTTCTGCTTCTCTTGCCGCTAAACGCCGTCCGCTCGTCCGGGACACTGTAGTCGGCCTCCGTGCAGGCCTGCCAGCGGCAGGCGTCAGCGACGGCTGACGTTTGTATGGTAAACGGTCTCTCTTTCGCCGAGTTGTCATCGTCAGTCGAGGTGCTCTGCCTCGTTGTCGACTGCTCTTTCACGATGTGCGTCAGCCTGCCGAACGTGGAGACGCTCTCGTCCGTACCGCCGGGGTCGCACTTCTCCCTCTCCACCTCGTAGAAACCGCGATCCTCGAAGTCCTCGTCATTCTTCCCGAGAGTCTCCCTCAATCTCTGCAATGCAGCAATCCGTAAAAACGCTGCGCACTTTAAACATATCTTATTGGAGTTCGCGTGGAGATTAATTTGGAACAAAAAAAAAGAGCGACGTCGTTTCAGGTAAGCAACATCGCGCTTTATCTAACATTCCGTGCATCGTTACTTGAACATTAGCATTTTCCCCGAGGCGCTATGCATCTCGGCAAAGATAATTCCGACATTCGTACGACGAACCTCGTCCGAGTCCGTGGTCAGTCCTTTTATCTGTAGAGCCTCCGCGACTTTCAGGAAGCCGGCGATATCCTCCTGCTTGATATTGACCTCGCCCTGATACATGAAATGCAGCATAGCCGACAGGTCTCGATAATTGACATCTTTCAGTATGACAATGGGATGCTTGCACGAGTTGCCCTGTGCGCAAAACAAATCGCCGGAGCTTCAGCAAGTGCGGCTCGCGTACTGTCGGCGCAACGGCCTCGGCAAGGTGGTCGACTTGTAATTTCAAAACAGTGTTTAACGTGCGTACTCGGCATTAAAATAAATTGCATGACAGAGAGGCCTGTGACGATTGTGCCTAATATTTTGCGTAAACAGCTTTTGTCAACGTAGAAGCTGCGCGCCGATAACTTGTTCAGTTTTGAAACAGTATTGAACTAGAGCATATCATAATTGAATTGGCAATTAACTTAATTGTCCCAAGTAAGTGTCGTTCAATCAGTTAATCACTAAATCGATTCGTTTAATGATCGAATTGGTCCCCTACAACGTTTTACTCTCTCGGGTCCACATTCTGAATCTTCTTTTATCGATAAAAGCGCCGCTAAAATTGATCCCGAGGGACTCTCGCCGGCTAACAAGATCTTTTACAGTTTAGGCGCCGGATTTTCTCTCGGGCATACAACGCAGTTTCGTTCAGACACAGAGGCAAGAATTTTGCTGCACCGCCCAACAACGGACAATTATTTCATAGATACTGTCCCAAGGTCAGCTGTTCCGCCAAGGTACTGACGTACCTTGAAGAGCTCACGGAAGTACGTGCTGCAGACCGACAGTATCAGCTTGTGGGCTCGCAGAATCTGACCCTCGGCGGCCAACGTGACGTCCACGAGGTGCTCGTCCGTCAGCAGGGTGTACAGGCCCGAGGACAGGTTGGTCGGGAAGCTGTTCCACACCAAGGAGAATTGTTCGTCAGACATTGTCCCTACGTGAAAAACACTCGGTGTACTTGGGCGGTAAAGGCGGGAGGAGAGTCGTTAGAGGGTCCCGGTGGAGTCGCGGCTGCCACTTGCATGGCTACGGCTTGCACGACGCTTTACGTTATACTCGCGTCGTTAAAAACGTTGGACAACGTCGAGCCCCAGGCGCGGCTTATTTACCTCGGGCGATTCCGTGTTTACAAGCGGAGGAAGTTAACCTTCAACGGGGGAGGACCCTTCCCGCGGCGAGACCAACGAGGTTTCCGACACTATCGTCCGTCTACAGCATTGTCAGGTGGCTCGTATCACCAGGCGAACCTGAGATACTCGGTGCTCCGGGGGTCTGACCGATCGTCCCACCTTTCCCCTCGAATATCGAACAGCGTAAACGTAAGCTGGTGCAAACACAAGAGACGCAATCGGGACCGTGTGCGCGCTCGCGCAGGGAGGGGGGGGGAGGGGGCCTGAGTCACCTCGATATGCGCGAATTACAAAAGCAGTGCGCCATAAATCATGCGATCTCCGCGGCGCTTCGAGATGGCGACGCGCGCAATTTCGCAGCAATGGCGCCGCGACTACAATGACTAATCAGACCTCGGACTAATAACGAGGTGGAGATACGACACACAGTGATATCTACATATTTTATATTGTATTTCATACAAAATATATTCCGGCGGAAAGTACCGAAGGCGTGAGAAAATTTTACTGGAGCGTGTTTGAAAATGTCTTTCAATTGAACCCGCGGTTTCGACATTTCAAAAAGTTGTCACTAAAAAATAGCGCGGCTCCCAGCTAAATTCGTAATATCTAATGTTCCGCAATTGTTCATTACCTTTCAATAGTATCCCTGGTAATAGAAATATTTTGTTGAAGGTATTGTGAGATCGATGGAAACCCATACAGCACCGAAGCTTTCGGAAACATTTCAGAAACATTGCAACAATTTGTTTTCTGAAAGCTTCGGTGCTGTATGGGAAGTGGAATGAAAAATGATTGGCTCCAAAGAAATTATAATTTTGAAGTGAATCCTAATTAAAAAATGGGAATATTTTTCAAAAAGTCGACCAAACTGGCAAGATCCTTATTTAGTTCACAACATTTCGACCTCTTAATCGGGTCCTTTTCGAGTGTGGTCTACAGACAATCAAAGTAATTGAGCCGCGATCTTAAAAAAGCAAAAGGAACGTCTATTTTTTAGCATGGTGATGTATAAAGGTGAAAGTACCTATAGTTGTCGGAGCGTAATTTGTTTAACCGAAACAGCTGAGTGAGTGCGTGAGTCTTGCAGATTCATATTGTCAAACCTGGAATTATTGGTGAAAATGGGTACTGGTTGTTAGAAATTAGGTAAAATAATTAGACAGTGTGATTAGTAAGTTAAGTAAAATGTAAATGTGTTTCCTTTGTTTCTTTTTTACATCGCGGCTCAATTACTTTGATTGTTCGTAGACCACACTTGAAGACGACCCGATTAAGAGGTCGAAACGTTGTGAACTAAATAAAGATCACTTTCTTGCCAGTTTGGTCGACTTTTTGAAAAACATTCCCATTTTATAAATTATAACGCTATTACACAATAAAGCCTCTATTAATGATCCATTTATAGCACGAGATATAATTCTTCATTCTTTCTCCAATCTATATTTAGGCTGGCCACGATGAGTTTTTTTATCTTTCCATGAATCTTTCTTCGTTCAAAGTGTACCAGAGTCAAGAGAGACCTTTGAAATCCTGATTCGTTTCAGAAATCACGTTCAGTCTCTAATATCACACGCTCGACGAGGTGCCGTTATGGCTGTCGGTGAGACGGAAGCACTTCCAGAGGCCGTAGCGCGCCTCCCAGTCGACGAAGAACAACCCCGGCTTGTTCCAGCGGACATGGTGCAAGGCGAAATTATATTGCGACTGAATGGGCGGGTTGAGGTGCGGCGCCCATTGCGCCCGTTCCATCACGATTCTGTTCACATAGCTGTAAAACACCTTGGCCTTGTGTATCCAACAGATGAGGGACATTACGGAGATGATGGTAGCGTGCATGTGACAGGCCACCTCGACGCGGTTGTTCTGCCACTGCAGAATGATCTCCTGCAGGTTCATCGCGAGGCAGACCAGGGCGGCGGCTATGAAGCCGCAGGGCACCTCGACGGCGATCAGGCACACCGTGCAGTACGTCGTCTCGAGATTCATCCGCGAATCCGAATGATTCACCAGACTCTTTAGCAGGCTATCGTGCAGCAGCTCACGGTGCAGCTTGAAGAACAGCCGGTCCTCCTTGCGGCACTGCGCGACACGCAGGTCGAGGCGCGTGTGCTCGAAGAAGATCCTGGGCGTGTCGAAGATCGCCCAGTTGTCCTTGCGGTCCAGCAGGTACTGTAGCACCCGGTTGCCCAGCAGACTGGTCAACCGACTGTCCGAGCCCACCATTCGCATCAGCAGCGGGAAGATCGCCGGCGTGAGCGTCTGCTCGTAGAGGTCCGCCTGATGCGTGTAGGCCGCGAATTCTAGGGTGCTACCGAACTCGAGGACGAACTCGTCGCTCGTGTCCGTGGCCACCGTCCACGAGCACAAGTGCTGCACGACTACCAGCAGCTGGTCGTTCGACAGGTGCTTCATGGTGTTCCTCAGGCAGACCTCCAGACCCTTCTTGAGGCTCGCGAGCGGCGACGGCGGCGGCGATCTCGAGGGGGAGGAAAAGTCGGAGGCCGTTGCCAAACGTGCGATGATGCTGGCGTGAAAGAGCCCGAGCATCCCCTCGATCGTCACCACCGTGTCCTGCGTCGCCGGCCACACGTACACGTCCAGCAGCTCGTACAACACCCTGACGATGCCGCGGGCGTCCTCGACGCCGATCTCCGGCGACGTTAGCTTGCTCCAGATCTCGTGGATGACCAGCCCGACGCTGACGGGACTGACGTCCAGCAGGCTGTACATCACCTCGAAGCAGAATGTCTCGAATTTCCAGAGCTGCTCGTGATAAACGGCCTCCACGATCGTCTCCACGACCTCATGCGACTTCTCCGGCAGGTAGCTTCTCAGCAGGGTGTGATAGCAATCCCGGGCGACCCTGAACTTCCGTCGACGTTTCCACTCGCAGAACCCATTCATGTGCATCACGCCCTCGTAGTGCAACAGGATCTTCAACAGGCACGTGACAATCGCGCGAGGATGGCGGGACTGCAGCTGTTTCTTCGTCGCGTTTCTAACGATCGTCGCTATCTTGCTCAAAGTCTTGTCCTGCTGCGCCAGGGAGTGCAAAGTCGACGAGAAGCTCTCAGAGATGTCATCCATTCTCCGTGCCAGCTCCTCGTTGGTGATCATTCGTAATAAGTTGCTCTTAACGAAAGTTGCGATGGAAGCCGCAGCTCCTGGAAATGCGAGATGTTAAAAGTGGAAATGCAGTAGAGAACAGCAATGCACTGTTATACACATGTGATACGTAGAAGACTGAAATTTATAATATAAAAATATACAGGGGACGATAAAACCGAAATATACGGGTTAAAGTTCAACTTTCAATTTTTTTCGAGGCTCACAATAGAAACGTGAAATTGCAGCTTACGTCGCATTAAAAGTTTCATGTTGTGATACAGACCTAATTTATACCGTGCTCTGTTCGCGGAACCTGACCTATACCCTGACCCAAAGTAAGCTTCCAAATGAAACGTTTACACCATTTCCACCTACAATACTTTCAGGTCGAATATAGGTAACATTGTCCTGTAATCACTAGTCCACAATTTTGTGTGGTTAACATACAACGGTGAAGCAACTGAAAATAATAGACGTTCACATTATTTTGCCTCCTCTTCTTACCAATGTATTAAATTAAACATAACGAGAATAAGATGATCTAATAAGTAGTAACAATCGTCTATAATGAATATTACTTATTCAAGTACAGTGTAGCAGCATAACATATACAGCCTTGGCCAAAAATATTTTCCATCTGTGTGAAATCTCAATCAATTATTTTACATTCAGACTAAATAAACAACACCAGTTGGTGAAAATGGGAACGTTTATTGCGTGCCGATACGTAACAAAATGGTTGATTAAAGTCAAAGGAAGTTACATTTCTAAGAATCGAGGGAGGGTGTGGGGTGGCAAATACTTTTAGCCAAAGCTGTATAAGAGAAGAGCGGTGCACATTCGTAGATACAAAACAATACTTTATTTTATATTTACAGATTCCTATACATATGTGCACATAATATACGAAGAACAAGTCCCAGATTCTTTAATCTTACAAGGTAGACTTAAGAATTCGCAAGTCTTTAGCTAGATCTCTCAAATTCTTATTAAATATGTATAGTAAATAAACGATACTTGTATAAGTATTACTTTAATAAAAAATAATAACACTTTTGCACTTAAAACCACAAGTCACCGCCGTCGTCCTCGTCCGGCTGCGGCAGTTGTGGCTGCTGCTGGTTCCGCTGTACCTCCTGTTTAGCCGTGTTCTCGGCGTCGTCGTCGCTCTCGGAAACGGCCAGGTCGTCCTGGATCTTATTCTCGCCTTTATCGTCTCTGGCCGGCAAACCAGCCAACAGGAAGTCTGACGGATCGTAATTCGGATCTACGTCCATGCTCTCATCTGCGAGCGTAAAAGTCAGAATTTACGAGAGGAAACGGCAAAAAATCGATATACACGAGTATCGATCGAGCAATCAAATGGCGATTTCAAACGAGCCAACGAAGAAGTGTTATTTCACCTTTAAAGAGTTACAAGATCCCACTTGTTATGCGCGATCAAATGTATTAATACATTTCTTCCGAATTATCTATATTTCCGTACGATCTCTAATTTCTTTAAGACAGTAAATTATCGAACACAGCAAAAGGAAATTTCATTGTCTATCGCTTGAAATTTGGTCTTCTTGCCTTGTTGAAGCAGCTGCTGTTCGCCCATATAAAAGCCGACGTTGCCTAGCTGGACCATCGCCTCGGCGGCTTGCTGACTGTCATCATCCGCTAATACGACACCTTCCCTGACTTCACTTAGCTCCAGCGCCTCCGTTTCGTTTTGCTCGGAATGTTCGTCCGTGCCGAATGGCACTTCGTCGAACTCGTCTTCACTAGAGAATTGAAGATCTGTAACAAAAAAAAAACCATTTTATAAGCTCCGATAGATACAAAATAATATTACACAGGATAATATTCCTTTACCTTCTTCGAGCACATCCTTCTTTTTCGTGTTCCTGTCCATGTCTGCTTCCATTTCTCCTTCCACATCGACAAAATCGAAGTCATCCATATTTGATTTGCCAAATGGATTTTCCGGAGAGCTGGTCTGGCTCTAAAAATAATTGCAATATTGAGCGAAACTTGAAGTAAAAATTGAAGACGTCGAATATCGAAGAAACGGAGATTGCACAATAAGATAACAAAATGTGAATTACAAAGCGAGAAATATACATGCTACGTATTAAATACAATTCTTACGCCTCTATATTCAGGCTCTGTGATAGTATAGTTTTCCTCGTCTGGACAAAGCCACGAAGAATCTATGTCTGCTTGCTCCATCGCCCGTTTCTGCACGAGCAGTATATTGTTTTCCAATTGCGTCAAATGTTCATCGTACTGAAACAAAATTCATCATTGTTCGCTATCCTTACTCTTATTTTTAAAACCCGTTTTAATGATTTCTTTCACTTGATTAACACAAAAATATTTATACCTCGTCTAGGGTGTCTTTACACACTTTAACTAGCAACTCCGCTTTATTCGTGAGCGGAGAATCCTTGCTATTATAAAGCGTGCAATTCTCCAAAATCTGCTCAATATCTCTAAGAAACTCATGACGACTGTGGTATTTGTGCGCTGCAAGAGTTTAAAAAAAAAAGGATAATTAATTTAAAAAAATTAATTATAAGCACGCGAATTTACATCTTTTAAATGTCAACAAATACAAATTTCTTACCAGACACTTTTTTAGATATTGTTTCTAGGTCCATCGGTCTCTTGACAATATTGTAATAATCCTTCACCATCTTTTTATTCACAGGCTTCATGAACGGCCACACTTCTGTCATGGACTTCAACTTGTTGTTGACAACGTTATCCAAGATGAAGGTGAGGGCGACCTGGTCGTTGTCGTCCAGAAGGGGATTGATGGCCTTTTCCAGCCTCATCAAACGATCCTCCCTTTCACCCAGCCTCTCGACGCACGTATCCAACATTCTCTTGGCGGCCACAGTCAACGAGCTCTTCGCTCCGTTATAGAGCGTCGAATTCTCCACGATCTGATTAACATCCGCCAGGAATTCCTCCCTGCTCTGATATTTTTTCATCCTCAAATTCTCACGTATGGTCTGCAGATCCATAGGCCGCTGTATGATCTTGTGATAATCCGGGACTGCCTGTGATAACAAATAATAGCATGATCGACATTCATAAAATGCTACTTTTCGATCTTAAAGATATCTCCATTGTATACTGTTTAAAATTGTATGCCAGTGTAAACGTAGCTTATAATTGAATTATAATGTAACGTCTATTCGATTTACAAATCAGCTTTTCAATTCGATCTTGTAAATTAAAATAGCTTTTACTTTAGCATTGACTGGGAACAGGAACGGTTGCACATCCGGCAGATCTCTCATCTCGTTTAGAATGCTCTCCAACATCGTGGACATTACGACAACCGGGTCGGTTCTGCGCCTGTTAACCGGCCTCTGATGGCGTTTCAAGTAGTCACAGTGGTCGTCTGTGGGCGGTTTTCTGCGCTTCTTCGAACCCACCGCCTCCTTCGGCACTTTGAGTACCAATGTACGTCTCTTCATCTCCTCGGCGTGCTAAAATGAACCAGACACAGATTGATCAAGTTTCTTCAGATTCTTCAGACTCGGTAATTGACAGAAATATTTCTCGGCTCGGGTCCGACATTAAGTTTCCAATATCCGTCGCTCACCTTGATCAGCTTCGAGGACAGCTTCACTTTGGTGCCGTCGACATTAACTAGATCCTGGTCATCGGTATTTAGCTGCTTCTCAATTTCCTCCTCCTGCTCCTCGGTCATCGCAACGTTCACCGGCGCTGTGGCAATGCTATTCTGATAGAGCGGACAGGCCTTGTTGGTGCGCATGTGACCGACGTTACCACAAGCGCCGCACTTAAGCTTCAGATCTGGCTTGAGTTTAGGTTTCTTACGCTTGGGAGGGGACACCTCCGGTTTGGGATGCTTAGGTGTGGGAGCAGAAGAAGTAGAGGATTGGAAATTACAGAACGGAAGGATACTAGTCGAGGAGGTGGTAGGTGGAGTGTTAGTGTTGCTGCGATCAAACATGTTATTGCTCGAATTGTTGATGCTGCTACCGTTCACTATCGCCGGTCCGGTGTGCATACGTTCCCTCTCCTGGTTTCGCTTGATCCGCCGTAGCTGCTCCTGAATCCTACGCTTCTCCCGCTTCATCTCCTCCTTCTGCGCGTCGTCCAACGTGGCGAACTGTTTGATGAACGACTCGTCTTTGGAATTGCGGATCTTGAGGTACGTGTCGATCACAGCAGGTTTCCTCACCAACTCGACTCGCGTATACTCCTTACCCTCCTGATTACGGAACGTACGGTAAATCTTCAGTACGCGACCTTGCTGCGCATTGAAGTTATTAACCGGGCTATCCTCCTCCTCGTCCTTCTTCTTGCTCTCCTTGCCCTTCTTGCTCTCCTGCTCCTGCGCCTCGCCCATCAGCATCTTCCGTAATTCGTGCCGCTGTTGCTCCTCTCGCTCCAGCGATAGCTGCGTACTCGTCTTTTTGTTCGACAACATATTCTCAATGTTCTTACCCATTTCTTCGATATCCGAGCTGTCCTCTTCCGAGCTCTCGCCTTCGTCTGTGCTCAACACTTCGTTTGACGACAACACGCGATTCTGTAGGTCGAAGATACGTTGGCACTCCTCCTTGTAGCGCTCCTGGTGCTCGGCGATTGAAAAGCGATTGCCGCGTGAAAACTTCGTCATGCCCTCCTCGCCGGCCTTCGCCTTTTCCGTCGACAGAGTTCGCACCACGTCGATTACTTCCCAACGCGATAACTTCTTGATCTCCTCCTCAGGCACACCGAATTTTCGCAGTAGCGCTTTTGCATTGTTCAAGGACAGTCTTCTCAAGTCCGCGTCTGTACCAGTTACAGTTCTCTTCGGCTGAGCTTCTTGCTCTTCCTATCCAAAACAACATCTTACGAATTATTTATGCATTTATTCCAACAGACAAATAATATTATTCGACCAAAACTGGCTATGATTTAATTAGAAGAAATTTATCGCGAGATATGTAACAGGGTATTGGAAAAAATATGCATATTACAGCCAGTTCTGGTCGAATAATATTATTTGCCTGTTATTTAATTACTGGCGAAAAAAATTATGTATTTTGACATGAATAATAACACTTGTACTAAACAGACATTTGTCAGAACGAACCTTGCTAATAGTCGGTTTATTCGGTACTCTGACATAAGAGAAACCTTCGCCGCACCCAGTCGGATCGGCTGGACCCGCCAACTGCAATAGACACTTTCCTTTCATGGCTTGGATGTAGGCGCGCGTCGTGTTCCACGGTGCCACCTTCACCTCGTCGTCCATCTTCAGCTGCATATCCTCGTCGTCGTCGTCCTGCGGAGTGAACAGGAACTTTTCGCCGTATCCGGCGTCCTTTAGACGCTGCTCGGCCGCGATCATGCTGAAATAAGAGCAGCACTGCTCCGGCGACACCATAGCGCGGATCTCCTCCTCCGTTGGCAATCGAAAGTCCGGTTTTATCACCCACCAATTGGAATCCATGCCTACAAAAGCAACAGGTTTCCGAATTACTTTTAAACATTTACGGGCTGGCTCGGAAACGAAATGTAACAGCAACGACGTTCCCTCTTGTACAATTCCTCCTTTGCTTTCCTCTTATTGCAAAAGGAAGTAATTTGATGTCGGTTACGCACCGGTTCTTTTAAAGTCAGCGCACAGCTTCAACCTCTTCCTGATGCTACTCTCGCTGTGAGACGGGAAGGCCTTTTTTATATCATCCATCTTGATTCGTCGAGGGGTGTCGCGCGACTTCCAGAACAATCTGTATATGAACACCTGTAGAAAATCTCGCACGAAGTTGTTCGCTCTCTTCGAGTTGGGTCCAGGTACTTCATAGAGCGGGCATTCCTGTCCGGCAACAAACAACGCATCCACTTCTCTAATATAATATTGCTGTCTGCAAAGATTATACAAAATCAATGAAAATAAATACGTAAAGGAGAAACTGATTAAATTAGAAATAGGCGTGCGTAAAAAAAAAGTGAGAGATGAATGTAGACATTTATTTTCAGGACAAATTACCTTGATCTTATGACTAAGAAATCGGTCTCGGGAATTTTGTGCTCGTAAAGTGGAGCTCTGTACATGTTGTTCTCGACCGCTTGGATACTCTGGCCGGGCGTGAGAATTCCGAGGAAGGGGCTGGTGTGAGCGTAAGCCGTCTCTCCGTATCGGTACGTCTGTGGCCCCTGATCCTTGCCGGCCCGCCTCTTGTAATAATTCTTTACTTTGGAGCACATGCCGACCTGATTCATGAGCGGCGGGTGCTCCTCCGAAAATTCGACGAGCACCAATTCGCCATCTCGTCCGGTCAGGTCCTCGGGTGTTCTCATGAAGAACACGTCGCCACCGCCAGAGGCAATTCTCTCTTGCTCTCGTTGCTTAGCTTTTTTCTTAATGTGCTTCAGCAGCGGTAGAACACCATGCGGTCCTGGATGAGCCAACGGCCCGTGGCTGAACCTTCGCAACGGTGGCCTGTGAAAGTTCCTCAGTCGCATCGGACCCATGTGCGTTTGTACGAAAGGAACGCGCAGCTCCACCACTGGCGTGCTGTGCTGTATCAGATTGCCGCCGCCGACCTTCAACCGCAACGTAGTTTCCGAGGACTTGGGCATGTAATATGTATCGTTTGATATGTTGAACGGATCCCGGTCGGGCGACTTAGGCGGTGGCGGGGGCGTGTCCTCCTCGAGGACGTTGATGACGCCCGCTTTGCCCAGCAGCAACTTGCTCTTCTTGACATGCGGATGCGGAATTTTCACCTTGGGCTGCGGAGCGTTGTCTTTGAGGAGAAGAGCGGGATCAATGTCGTCCGGTATGCCCAGAACTATATTCTCGTCGTTCGGATCCAGCGTGAGTATCTTCGGTTTCGGGATCTTCTTCATACTCTCGGGATCCCAAATCACCTCCTCCTCCCACAAACCGTAAACGAGCTCTTCATTTTCCACCGGGAATATCGAATACCAAGTGTCGTCCTCCTCCCGCTGCTGCTGTTGATTCCCCTTACCCATGTTCATCTTGTTCTTTTGAGATTGCATGTGCAACGGAGTTGTAATTTGCGAGGTGGCCAGTCTAACGTTCGGTGCTACATTAACAGGGGCACCTTTTCCGGGCTGACTGAAGGCTTGCGCAGTTCTATTGCCACTTGATGGTACCCAGCCGGCAGCGTTATTCTTGCTATTTAACTTCTGCATCACCTGCGAAATAAGAAATAGATTTATTCTCCATTTTTTTGCAAGAGCACGTAGTAACGCCCGCCACTTCATTAACAAAATTGTACCTTGTGCTTAATGTCGTCACCATTCCAGACTACGTCGTCCTCCCAATGCAGCTGAGATACCATCAGGAACGCATCGTCTGCGAACTCCTCAGCCTTGGCCTCCAGTTTGCCGCTCTCTTGGTCTTCCACCTAATGTCGGGGCGTGAAAATATGAATACTTAAAGGTAAGTTGCGCAGCATCGAGGCAACACAACGAGCGCTCACTTTTTCAACGGTCTTGAAGCCGTAGTTGAAACCATCTCCAGTTTCCGGCACTTCCAGCATGTCGTACCACAATTGAGCTGGTCCAAACCTCCAGTCAGCAACCTTGGGTCCCATGTCGCCGTTCTCGCCACTCTCGCCCGTCTTACCAGTCTGCTCCTTGTCCTCTACCGGTCGCAGCAGCTTGGTCTCGTCATCCGAGCGACATGCCTCCGCACTCGGTTCAGGACCGTACTGCATGTTCCAACCCTGAGACAATGAACGCGACATCGAGCAACGCTCCGCACTCGGCGACAATAAGAACCGATCGTCTGTATACCTTAAATTTGGGCTTCTTGTCATCCTGATCGGAGCCAGAATCGGAATCTCTGACATCCTGATGCCTCTTCTTCTTGCGTCGCTTTCTCACGCCCCTCCATATCTGCGGCAGGCTGCTCGGCTTCCCCGGGCCGAACAATCGTGAGAATCTGAGAACCTTATTGGTGCGAAAGTCCGGAAACAGCTCGGTGACGTCGATATTGGCGTACTTGGACGGCAGCATGGAAGCGAGGGGCGTCTCCAGCCTACGTTGGCGCGCTGCCTCCGCTTCCTCCGCAGTCAATGCCTCCTTCTCCTCCGGTATTGGCGGCGGTGGCATCAGTTGCGTGTCCGATTTGCTGACGACCTCCTCGTCGTCGGCATCGTAATCTACATTCTCCTTGTCCGCTCTCTTGTCAAGTCCATTGCTCTTGGCTGAAAACGATTCGTAATCACCATTACAATTTGTGACTCCCTGATATTGTGTCAAATACTGTGATTATCCGCGTGTAAATGCATCTTTAGAAAACTATGTGATGCTACTAACAGATCTCATCATTTATGTCGTCCGCCAACTCGTTTATATCCGAAAAATCTAGGGCGGTGGGTGCTTTCGCCAGGTAATCTACATCGGCGTCGTTGGCAGTTGCGCTCTGCTTATCCTGCTTGTCGTCCGCTTTGTCATTCTCCTTCTCCTCGGCGTTGCTGTCACTGGACATCATCTCGCTGATGAACGAGCTTAGACCGAGACGACTGAGCGAGGCTAGATGTTGCTTGGCTTCGGGATCCAAGATATCGTCCTCCAGCTGACCGTTGTCGTCGATGTTGCCGAAAAGGAAGCCGGTGATGTTGAGACCGGACGCCAGGTCCTTCTCGCTCTCCTCGTCGGAATCCGCCATCTCACCCTCGTTAAGATTTAACGATAAGTCCAACCTTTGGCGACGTAAAGACCGTGTAACTGTTTGTCTACCGAACGTACGATAGTTCTGTTAGTCAATCACCAAGACGGTATGCAATAGTGCTCTTTTTTTTAATTCGTTATCACAGTTAACAGAGCGGTATTATTGATCTTACCTCACGCGAATTATGCCTGGCACCGGCGAATCGCGCACGAAACCCGGTCCAGTAGTTTGTTTACATAAATAGCATCGCGATGATCAACCATCCACGAAAGAAATGGAAACCAACTAATAACCAAAAGCAAAAGCTCGGTAAATTCGCTTGGGACTCCGATTGTACAGATACCAGATACGCGAAATGTATGAAGACTGGAACAACGGAGGTCTGTTCTTTACAGCTGGACTGGCGACACACCAGTTTAGAACTAAGGTTGCGTTCAGAAACATCACCTGAGGGCGACGTCCCATAGCGCGGAAATACTCGGCGGAACGGAATGCGCGGCCAATCACAGCCATTCTGCTTTTCTCGAGCCGTTCCGCTATAGGCCTAGTTTACATCGTGCACTTGATACGCGTATCAAATAGTGTATTTGAACTGATCAGCCAATGACCAAACGAATTTACTAGTTATTTACTATTTGTTACTATTTGATACGCGTATCATGTGCACGATGTAAACTAGGTCATAGTTTTACCGCTGAAATCCGCGGAATAACCGGATAACCTCTATTGTGTTTTTGCATACACGTTCCGAATGTTTTGATCCTCATTAGCATTTGATTACTTACTCTGTTCATAATTATTTAATAATAGTATTGTCTTTGGAACGTGTATGAAGAGATTAGTCGTTCATTCCGCGAGTCAATATCAGGCAATATCAGGTTATAATTGTACACGTTTCCGCTGATGCATTTCTCCTAATGTCCCATTAAGCGGTAAACACGGCAGCGGAATTGAATTTCAACCAATCGTAGGAGAGTTCTACATTTACATGAAAAATATTTTACAGAAAAAACAGATTTTATTGTTAATACTTTGTCATATATTATGTTATTTGTGTAAAATATTATTTTAATTATTATAAATGTTGAAAATAACATTAAAAAAGTCATCTTTTTTATTGTTCCGCGTGATCCGCTTCCGCCTATTCCGCTCAATGGGACATTAGGGAAACAGAAAAAGCGCTGGCAAAGAAAGCGGAATAGCTCTGATTGGCCGCGCTGGTTCCGCGCATTCCGTTCCGCTGAGTATTTCCGCGCTATGGGACGTCGCCCTGAGTGTCCCAGTGTATCAATTTATCCTTGTTTAAAGCCCGCTGCAGACAATGGCTGTGTTCTCCAGAAGTTAGCTCTTAATAAGCGCTTTATGCTGATTGGATAGATCTAGAAGAATAGCTCTATTTCAGCACAGATCTGAAAGTATAATCCAATGAACGCAAAGCGCTTAGCAAGCTTCTGCTGGACACAGGCAATGGCCGCGTTCAGCAGACACAACTGTTGAGTGAGCGCTCGGTATGATTGGTTAATACTTTTAGATCCAGCCAATCGTATTAAGAAATCATTGAGCGCTCACTCAACAGTTGTGCTTGCTGAACGTGGCCAATGACTGCGTTCAGCAGAAGTTAGCGCTTGCTAAGCGCTTTGCGCTCATTGGATTATACTTTCAGATCTGTGCTGAAATAGAGCTATTCTTTTAGATCTATCCAATCAGCATAAAGCGCTGACTTTTGCTGAACGCAGCCAATGAGATCACTGGGATACGCGATGACGTACGTCACTCCCTTTTCTTGCCGATGCGTCCCTTGCCTAAAAACATGTCGACAACTTGTATAGTTTAGTAACCTGACGTTTTGTGTCTTCCTATTTTTAACCAGTTTGATCGAAGTGGCCTTCGGTCTTAAAAATTAAATTTGAATCAACAGCCCAATCAGCTAATTCTATCTCATTCAAATATATTCTAATTTAACACTTAAAAATCTATCAATTTTCGTTCTTCACATTCTTGATTCTTAAAGGAACACTGAATTTGAAAATATAAGCATTTCTGGCGAAACTAATGAATTAAAAAGTATATCGCGAGATACGCATGTTCACTGCTCTCCTACTCTCACGTATAGTCTGAGGAATGTGGCGCTCAATTAAATTGTATTTTCACAAACACTTTAAATACATGTATTTTACATTCATGTAAAACTTACATTTAGCGAATATAATTAATAGATCGTATCCAGGATACACTTTACATTAGGGATATTTAGACCCCGATAAAAATATGTATTGCATATACATGTACGTTTCTCAAAGAAAATTCTTTTTTTTTTGTCAAGTACGCTGTGCAGCATCAAGAAAGCAGAGCCAATTGTCAGAAGATGAAGATTTTTTTACTTTCAGAAAAGATAACGTGCAATTTATTCTCGCTCCTGTACAAAGTAATGAGAGCCACTGAGAAATTATACATACTTAATGACAATACCGGTACAAAATTCGATCTCACGAAGCGCAGATGAAAGCCGGAACCTCACGGTTTTTTGTTTACTCACGCATCAATGAAAATGTACGCCCCTAATCTACACACCATTATACACCTCCTATATACCGTTTACAAATATAGAAAGAGGATATCTAAAGATGAGAATGCGCGAAGTTAAAATCGTTATAATGTTAAACGTGAAAATTCATGTACATGGGGAATCTTGTGATTTTTAGAGGAGCTGACTGCGAGAAGTGTAATGGGTGTTTCCTTTACATAACTTGTGTTTCGTTTTCTCTCTCTCTCTCTCTCTTTCTCATTGATAAAAGCTCGCATTTTCACACCAAACCGCGTGTACGTACAATTGTACTCGAATGTATAGTGTTAAAACTTATAGTAAACGGTCGTTTCGACCAAACGGGGACTTGAACCAATGCCATAATGTGCGCCTTTAAATGTCAAGAGTATGTTTAAAAAATTATATTTATTTAAAAAATGGTAAATAGATAATTATATTTAATAGATAGAATACAAAGAGATGAGGCAACTAAATTAAATTAGGCAAATTTACACTTGGATAAGTGAATTCTGTACATTATGCAACGAATTCAAGTCCGGAGCGAAACAAAGATAAACGAAAGAAAAATAAATCAAGCTTTATGTTAATAGTAAATAGTAAACACTGCTGGAACGGTAAATTTCATTTAGTCCATTTGTGAACGCGTTGCGTCTCAACACGAAGAACCACCTGTCTGCTGTTGATACACCTCTATTGTATCACCCTCCTCCATTTCCAATGTAGTAGGCGTGTCTAATTCATTTATGGGTTGTCCGTCGAACCTAAACCTTACTGCTGCTATCGCCAAGCCCTATGGAACAGCATCAACATTGTTAAAAAATTTCTTTATAAGCAACCGACAGATTGCTAATTATTTATGCTTGGCAATGAAAAAGCGTGAGACCCAAGTATCGAAACTGTCTTCAAAAGGCATTGAAAATGTTGCGCTCAAAAATAATATAATCCGGTCGCTTTAATATAACGTAAAAAAATATAAATATCTTCCGCAGCAAAGTGTCAGGTCTCTGAATACACTAGTTTCGCGCATGACGCGCACAGCTATTACATTTGTCGTACGACAAATTTTCTATCCTGCAGCCAATCAACACACTCGAAACGTTTGTTGTGCGACAAATGTAACACCAGCCTTTTACGCTCGTCGTGTGCGAAACGGAACGCAGCTTGTGCACAGTGCATTAAGAGCGAACAGAGCTGTTCATGAATCGTGATTTCACGGGGATATCGGAGGCAGTGACATACGGCTCCGTATTGGAGCATTTGATTTTGTACTCGACGGGTCTTGATCCTCATCTCATACACAACTCAGTTTACAGGAAGCCAATTAAAGAAACTAGAAAGTCGGAGAATAAAGATGCACAGACACGTGCCACAACCCCGTGGCGGCATTAAAGGCGTCCAGCATAGAAGAAAAGAATTACAAAACGTAGACGCGCTTGGTATACAAACACTTACTACACGGTCGCAGTATGCGTTCATCAGTTTGCGTAGGGGTGTGTGTTTCTTAATTTTAAACTGGACTACCGCGTTGTCCTGACCGAGCACCTTCAGGTTTATGTGCTCCGATTCCGTCTTCGTCTCCTACGGGGACAAAGAACGATTAGCGTGAGCCGCGCGGGAGACGCCACTACGTATATCGTAAATAATCGAAGTTGTAGGTTATGTCAGGTTGGATCGGCAGGTGAGCGTTTACCTTCTTCTCGTCCGACATGGCTCCACCAGATTGAAATCGCGTTTACCGGGGGGGGGTCACCGGGCGGTCGCGCGATCGGTGACTGAACTGATCGATCGGTTTGCACGCTCGAACAACGACGTGGATGATTCCTGGAGCGCGAACTCGCCGCAAAGTCCCGCTTCTTCGTCAAAACGGCGGCTACGACGTCGCCATCTTGCATGAATGATGCGCGGTATGAAGACTCGCCGTGAACCGCGATCTCTGTAAATTTTGAAACCGGATAATTATTGGACGTTGTTATTGATTACGGACGATTCGCGTCACAGATCCGATAGGAAGATGTCTCGAATATTGTGTAATCGTTGCATCATCCGAAAGAAAGGGCCATCGCACACAAAATTGCATAGCTGCATAAGCATAGCATGAAAACCGTTTAAACCAATGAACATCGAGCATTGAGTCGCCATATTGATTTACATAACATGCTCATTGGTCCAGACGGTCTTGTGTAACTTGTGTTATACATATGCAACTATGCAATTTTATGTGCGACAGCTCAAAGAAATTTCACGACCGCATTAAGGTGATTCGCCAAAACGTGGCGGTTTTTTAGGAATCAAATTTTTTAACGGTCAAAATTTGCCCGAAAATCGATAATTTCAATTTAAACGATGTATCGTGGCACAAGTATCTCGACATTTAAGCGGGGAGCATACACTTTTGCATAAGTGTATGCTCCCCGCTTAAATAAATATACGCGTAACGAATTTGATTGGTCTATAAGCAAACGCACAAGGAAGTGGACCAATCAAATTCGTTATGCATACGCTCATGCACTTATGCAAAAGTGCGTGCTCCCCGCTTAAATCTTTTTCTCCGGCGTGAACTCGTGAAAGGCGAAAGATTTCATTAACGAATTTTCAATATCTGTCAATGCAAATTTTCGCTTCTCAACGAGGCAGCTCGGCCCTTCATAGGTCGCTCTAATCGGACCCTAGTTCGGCCTCCCCGGTTCTAGTCTTCATAATATATAAGGTTTATGATGCCACGGCCCGAAATCTCGGAGCGCCACCGAACTCACCCTCCGTTTGTCTCCGTTGTTCCGTGTTTTGTTGTCGTCGCGATATCCTTTGTTGACTCTGAATGGCGCGTGTAATCTCGCGCATAAAGTCGACGCAAATGCGATGACCAATGTTACTGCCGTTACTGAGTGTACTGAAGGTGCATATGCAAGCAGGACTGTCCGTTTTCTAACCTTTCCTCGCTACACGCTACAAGGCAACTCTATGAGGAGCTGTTCTCTTTTGCTCAATCGGCACGGATGGGCTTGATCAGCCAGTCAATTATTAGATTAATCATTGGATTTTGTTGCAACAATAATTGTAAGCTACGGAGTGCGTCCTTTACGCGCAGATTCATTGCAATGCAGATCTGCTAAATGCTCCAATAACAATGGATAATTAACTTCAGACCGCTTAATTTAATTCAACTTCAGCTTGACCGTATTATCCATTGTATCGGACATTTGTGAATAAATCCCTGCGAGAGCAAGAATAATTAAATCATAGTTTCAATTCGTACGCGCGTATCGTGTCCACGGTCATTGTTTTCATTGACCTTACGTTTCTTTGTTCTCTAGGTGCTAACTGTGAGAGCAGTAACAATGGATACTCTGTTTACGCCAAATGTTCCTGATGAAGCGGAAGATATACCGCAAACGGACGAGCCGATCTGGATTTTTGGCAGGAAGCACAACGCTATAAAAGGTCTAATTGATGGTGAAAGTGCGGCGACTTTCGACGAAGTAGATTATAAGGTGTTGAATTTTAGAGCTCGATGCTATACGCAGGGATATTCGGTCGAAATTGTGGTTTACCTATCGCAAAGGCTTCGTCCCCATCGGCGGCTGCAATTCGACGTTTACATCCGACAAGGGTTGGGGTTGTATGTTAAGATGCGGGCAAATGGTACTGGCTCAAGCCTTAATTACGTTACACTTAGGTAATAGATACACTTCAATTATATAGATAAGTTTATTAGGATCAAATCTTTTCTTTCTCCTTGGTTCACCGACGAGATAAGCTCGTGCTCTAAGATCGTTAAAGTTTATTCCGACATTCAAGAGAGAACGAACGTTGGTCTTGAAAATTTTTAAGTTTCTTCCCGGAGAAGATCTCGTTAAGAAAATCTTATCTGTGTCATGGTTTTTTTTGCTGGCACATAATTGACAAGTTTATTGATTATGGAAGAAGATAGCTGTACAGCATTTTATGATGCAGGTAAAGATTGGCAATGGATGCCAGAGACGAAGAATAAGACATACCTGAAAATTTTGAGGCGCTTTGAAGACAAGAGATCTGCGGCTTTTTCTATTCATCAAATTGCGTTGATGGGCGCATCTGAGGGAAAAGAAGTCGGGCAATGGTTCGGTCCTAATACTATCGCACAAGTATTAAAGTATGTATTGTTGAAGAAATTTTGATTTTCAAATAGAATTTTAATTTAAAGCGTGTCCGTTCTCTGTGTACAATTTGGAAAGTCGTTCAGCTTTGATAGCATCTCTGACAAGAGTATGAAATAAAATAAATAAAATATGACGGGTACATTTTATACAGTTTCCACGAACTGTTTCAATAAATCCTGTGTTTCTTCTTTCAGAAAATTAATTGTATACGACGAATGGAGTTCTCTTACTATACACGTTGCACTAGACAATACATTAATAGTTAACGATATTTGTAAGTATATAGTATTGAAGTCAGTCCAATAATACATAATACAGTTGCATTTAATTAAAAAAGAAACACCATGGATCCACCAATTAAGAATCGAGCGTTATTTATAGCGAATTCGGTTGCTTGCACTAGTGCACACTGTGCACACTAAGGCTTGTTTATAGTAAATATTCTTATATTTAACTTTGTCTTAAATACATGCTCAAAGAGTATTTAAAAAAGATCCATACGGATGCTGTACAGTTTACTGGCTAAAAAATATTTCAAGGGATATTTAAGACAATTCTTAAGTATAAGAATTGACTTGTATGGAGAGAAACTGACAGTTGAACTACCACAATGCATGTTACATAATGTTATTTGAATCAATTTAAATCGTTTTACTATTTAACAGTGAGGCAATGTAAAGTAGAAGGTGGTGTGACCGCAGAAGCAGATGGAGAAATTCCTCTAAAAGCTCCAAGCCAATGGAAACCTTTGTTATTATTAATCCCGCTACGCCTTGGACTTAGCGAGATTAATCCTGTATACATTAATGGACTCAAGGTAAACATTTTTTTTTTGTGCATGACATATTAAATTTAAATTTAATACCTCAATGAAGCAGAGCGCCGCATGCAAATATGTTACCGTGCAATATTAAAATGACATTAAAATTACATTATTTTAATATATAATACTAAAATAAAAATATTTATTGTCATAGTTTAAAATACGGATTATGGATTTGTAAACATGTTTTTCAGACATCATTTAAGATCTCACAATCTCTCGGAGTGATGGGAGGGAAACCAAATCTTGCTTTGTATTTTATAGGCTGTGTGGGTTTGTAATTTTTATAAATTGTCATATTTTACAAAGAGAGAAAAATGTGAAATTTCTGGAAGTTGCTTCAAACAAATGCATAAAATGGATAAATGTTTTTAGGAGATGAGGTGATCTATTTAGATCCTCACACCACACAGAGGTCAGGTAGCGTTGAAGATAAGATAAGCGAAGAAGAAATTGAAATGGATAGCACATATCACTGCAAATCAGCTAGTCGTATTCCTATTACAGGCATGGATCCTTCTGTAGCACTTGTTAGTATATGATTTGGCTTTTATCGTAAAAGTCAGTAGGAAATAAAAAAGTTTAAGAGTTGCTATTTGAGAGAGAAAGAAAAGCGAGATGATGGGAGAATATTGGTATAATATATCATCTTTGACATGAGATATATAATAGAATTAAAAAAAATAATTTGAAAATAATAGTTACTGAATATTTGAATTATATTGGATTGTTAAGTATTTTCGTTACGTGTTATACATACACATTTGTGTACACAAATCACATATAATATTGTGAGGATCACATGTTATTATATTTTATTATATTTCAGTGTTTCTTTTGTGCCACAGAGAAGGAATTTAAGTCTCTATGTAAATCAATACGAGAGGAATTAATTTTGCCCGAAAAACAGCCATTGTTTGAGCTGTGCACAGAGCGTCTGGCACACTGGTCACCAGCAGACGAAGCTGTTGCGGAAGCTATAGCAGCTCCCAGTTGTAAGTTTTGTTAAGTTCTGGTTATTATTATAAGCAACTTATAGTTTTTGATAAAGTTAAAATATAGATGACATTTTTTTTAATACAAAAAGTGTTAAGTATTAGAATACAGGATTTTATTTTAATATAAAAATAATATATTTTGATTGTTATTTAAAAATACTTTAATAGAAGTACATTATTCTTAAGGAGAAAGTATTATGTCTTTTTATGAAATTTTTTATATATCTTAAAATAATTTTTTGTACAATTTTTAGTAAAATTTACTGTTTTTGTTGTATTATACAGGGTGTCAGATTCGATATGGACGACCCAAC